AACAACAACAACAATAAATGTCATTAAATTTTAAGTATAGAAAGTGTGTTGGTGTCATGCTGTGCTTTCATATTGTAAAAATACCATATTTTTAAATATAATCAAAATAACTAATTTTAAAGAAAAAAGAGTAGTCAAGTTTGACAAGTCTCCCTTCCACTTTTTATTTCTATACTCATATTTGAACTGTCTTGGTTTCTTTGTCTTAAGACATGATCCCAGTGATTTGCCTCAGGAAAAGTAATCAAACGCCAGAACATCTCCAGTGCTTGCTACAATTATTCCCGAGCTGCTTTTATAGGTTGTGGGCTATGGCAGTCCTGTCATCAGAACCTTTCCTTCACACCAATTAGCAACCGATCAAGAGCATCTCTTGGGACTATTACAATGTTGTGTGAAGGGGGCATTTGTCCTGAGTTGTTATTAGAGAGATCACAGATTAAAAAACTGGGCCCACATACTTCTATGATTGCAACAGTAAGCTCCAGAAAGAAAACCAGCGGGACTCCTGGTCTTTGCTCGACAGTCCATCTTTCTCCCATGGAACAGCACTGGATTTGAACTGCCTGCCTCTAGATTGGTAGCTCGTAACTCACGAGGCCAGCAGAGCTCCCTCCTCATGTAGCTATAATTCTATCATTGAACAGGCATGTTACTTTACATATAAATACACTTTAATAGAGTGATTTCATAAAACAAATCAACTCCCCAGTAAACTGTTCCTGCATTTTGTGTGATGTTATGCTGAGGTCTGGCATACCTGCAATATGCAGATCTAAATGACTGTGACATAGGTGTCAGGGGAACACCATTTTCATCTAAGGCCCAAGATAAAGAGTAGCTTAATTTTCCTGAAGTCAGCAGACAAAGTTCTTCAGTTCCACTTCCATCAAGAAGAAAAGGCACATCTGTTTACAAAAGGCATTGAAAACAGAGGAACAATTTAAAACGTGTACAGGGAGAGCACATTGCCGATTTCCCACCCTAGCTTCTATTTTTGGATTACAGCTGCACCCTAAGACCACAAAGTATAGACTCTAATCCTATAGCTTTTTCTGTCTTCCCTTTAAAATACCTTTAGGTAGACAGCTTCAAATAGACTTAAATGGGAGCACTGAGGTGAGCTGAATACACGCAATTCTATTGCCTTTTAAATAAAAAGTCTCAACAATTCTTAGTCATTCTTTCTGGGATTGGCTTCCACCAAGAAAAAGACAACTGTCAAACAAATCAAAAAACCAAACCTCAAAAACAACAACTTACAAATGTAGTCATCCTATTCTGGCTTTAGTTTCTTAGATCCTTGAGTCTGCTCTCTGTCAATTTTCAATTTTCGGGACTTAATTCTACTCCTTGAAACTTCTGTGAGTTCTTAAAGCTTTGGTGGCCTCGTTGCAGGGAGCTGTGCTGCTCACCCAAAGGCCGTGCCTCTCGCGAGGTGCTTTGTAAACCCAACAGCGGGTCTGCCGTGGGTCAGTTCCGGCACTGTGGCAATGAGTGCAGGCATGCACGCTCTGTAACCTTTTAGAACTCTTATTAGTCTTTTCTCCCAGCTCTCCACATCCCTTTTGCTGCCTCATCTAGCTTCTAAGCTGATGACATCTTTCCTTCATTCTCTATATTTTCTAAACTGTCTCAAAGAGCATAAGCAGCTGCAAATCCTGAGAAAGGTGGAAGACAAAGAATCAGAGGCAGGAGAGAAATGGCAGTGTCCTCAAAGAGGTCTTAACTCAAATCTATTTCTATAAGAGGAGAGAAGGAAAAGCATTTGAAAATAAATGAACAGAAATGTCCAATCTTTTCTTTCCCGCCTCTTCCCCCCTTCCCTGTACAGTTTAAAGATGCAGCAACACTCCCTGAAGCACACTTCTTATTCACTAAAGGAGAGAGAAGAAGAGACGTATCTGCTTGGGGTGAAGCTCATGTTCTAGAGATCATACAGCTTGTACTATGATTAACCTAGGAAAAGTACAGGTGCGAACTTCCAATTATAAAGTTCTCCAAGATCTGATTCAAGAAAACATCTTCAATTCTACAGTCTTCAATTGCGAGAGCAGGGAATTGAATTTCCCTTGTCAGTCACATAGATATAACATTCTGTACTCATGTAAACGATGTAGGGTCACTTAGAATAGGTCATTAGTGAAGACGATGGGTCAGAATAAGCACTGTAAATGAACTCACTGCTTCCTACTCCACCATATGCAGCCACGACCGACTTATCACAGCTAAATTCTACATGTTCCAAAGCAGTTTTGCTTTTTAGCTCTGTGTTGTTAGGTAAAGGTAAATACAATTTTGCCAATAAGGTTGTCCTTTTACTTATTTCATAAACCTAAATACAAAAGAAATGATAGTTCACACACACACACACAGAGAAAGAGAAAAGAGAAAAGCAAAATTAAGGACCTTCAATAATAACACTTATTATAAAATATTTTACATAGAATATCAAAATAGCTTCTGTTCTATGGCATTGCAGTCACATTTATGAAGAAAGTCTGTAATCATATGTTCTTAAAAATATGATTCCTTTCCAAGTGTACAGCAAGTCGATGCATCAGAGAGCTGGACAATGAATGACTAGGGATGACAGAAGGAAAAGTGATGCTTTTGAGCTGTGGTGCTGGAGAAGAGTGTTGAATATACCACAGTCTGCTAAGAGAATGAACAGGTTTGTCCTGG